TGCTCCATTTTATTGTCGTTATGCACTTGTGTTGCTCGACGAGTAAGTAGAACCGGTCACGAGAGAACAATGAATTCTGCTAGGTTGGTCGCAGTTCTTCTCTAAAAGCACTATCTGATCAAAGTCGTGCCTTGCGCGAAGAATCTCTGAGATTTGAACAGCTATGCTATTTTTAGATGATTGAGTTAAAATAAAAGTAATTCAAGACCGAATATTCCGCTCGACACAGCCAGCCATATCCGAAATAACCACGGCCGTGGGATTATTTCGATGCACTGTACTGATATAATGCTGCAATCGCTTTGAGTGGACCCACCTGTAGCCGCAAGCCGCAAGCCAGCATCTCGAAGGCTATAGCCCTTGTTAGATATGTTGCAGATTACCAAAGACAATGCAGATACGCTTCAATTGAAGCGATTGTAAAACGATCGAAAATATCGAATATCGGTAGCGTGTTGTCCTGGGAAGGAGTAACTACAAGTCGGAATTTGCTAAATGCTGTACTCGACGACCGTTATGCCGGGCATATTGAGGAGTAGAATAAACTCATTTGGTCATAGATAAGCTCCAAGATGTAGGAAAATGTACTTATCCTTTGACTTTTCGCAACGACCGTCGTTTACGAAATGTGACACCACGGAAGACATCAGTGAATCGTTACGCTGCCACCAATGAAGGTAGGGGTACTGTAACGATTCACTGATGTCTTCAGTGGTATCACATTTAGCGAACGAAGTTCTTATCCTGTGCTTTGCAACGAGGTAACGACATAACCTCGTCGTACAACACCTATGTTGCGGGCATAATTCATGGCAAATTGGATCATACCTACCCTACCGTGAGAAGTCAGGCCAAGTTTTTTCTTACGAAAGCCTCTCTGTCCGCTTTCAGTCCGCAATTTGCCTCCCACAGCGCAACCCTAGACTACCTGCCCCGCGCCGACTACCTGCCTCGCGTTGACTACTATCGTAATCGAACAAGCATGCGTCTACACTACTTCCTGCTCGTGGCTGCACCCATGCTTCTTGCAAGCACCGATTTCGTCGCAGCCAGTACCGACTCCGCTCACACCAAGCTATCAACGGCTGCGGAATCCACCCACGGCGTTCGCATGCCTGCTCGTGCTTTGACCGAAGGGAATGACAAAAGATCTCTGCGAATCTCCAAAACGAATGATGAAGACGACGAAGAAGAAAATGAAGCTAGGGGTATCCCCGTGGTGTCATTTTATACTGATGAGATATCCGCCCGTGGTTTGATCAGGTTCCTGAAGAAGAAGTCTATCATCAGCAAGGCCCGCGCTAAAGAACTGAAAGCATCCGATGTGTCCAAAGAAGCAATTGCCGAAATGTACTCAAACTACGTCGCGCTTGCAACGAGGCCAAAGAGGGGTGAAGCTATATACTCGCCATGAACTGGTGAGCAGGTGGAGCGTCATGAAAAACTTCAACTGATACTGCGGCTGACACGACTGTAGATGATGTTTA